TTTTTTTAGTGCAGATCCAAATAAATCGATTCTGGCAGGGTCGAGGGTGGGGAGAATCACCTCTCTCCAAATGCTCTCACATGGCCACGCATTTACAGCCACTGACAAGAAAGTCCTACTCACTGCCCACTTGCGGCGGGGGTGTTGTTTGCGAAATTGAGAGGACGAAAAGCGAATATCCGGCCATTTAACCGGGCTGGTGGATACAGAGGATCCACCTAGTGGAGTTGGAAAACCCTGATTCCAAACCATTATTGCACATGGGCTCCAGGATCCTGAAGGAACAAATGGCGTATGAACTAATTGTTGGTCACCAACTACAATGCGACTGCATCTCCTCACGATGCTCCATCGCCTTGTGGATCAGACCTTTAGGTCGAAGGCTCGGGGTGTGGTCCCCTAAGACAACCACCTGCTTCGGTCTGGGTACCCGGGCGGTATCATAGCCCATACACAAATCAAGTGACTTGTATGGCGCATATGTATTCGTTGCTCCTCTGTACCAATATTTTTGTTTTCAAATAAATAAATAAATATAAATACTACATAACAAACAGTCTATTGTGTTTAGTTTACTATTGTGAAGGATAGTTTTTGAAAAAAAAAAGATTTGGTTTATCTGTTAATGTATTTGATTATAAACACTACCTTCAATCCACTGTTGATAGTGGATAAAGTGAATAATTCTGACATCAAGTTTGGAGGGCACTTGATAGAGATGATAATTCAATTGGTAGGTTTATGGATCTTGAACAGCTCAAGTGGTTAGGATTATGTTACACATGCCAAACTATTATTTACTCTGATAAGTTAAGCTAGCTAACATAAAGCGTTATAAAGAAACTAGAGGCTGCTAAATATAAACAAAGCACATCCGTCCATAAGATCATCGGTTGTTGGTTCTATTTGTGGTAGACTAAGCGAATCGTTTAGAATTTGAAAGTAGAGGCGGCCAAACCAAAACGTGGCATCAGACCTTTAAGTCACTAACTTCTAGTTTGAACCATGTTGTTTAATACAAACTACTTGGTTGGGATCCGCAGAACTATCGTAACCAATGGTTGGAGACTCTTGGTGACATGTCTCTGAATCGATCACAATGGTGTAGGTATATACACTCTCCGTTTTCCCTTAAACTATGAGATTATAATTGCTTTATATATTTCTTTCTACGAACTGACTATTTCTTCCTATACTCTCTCTTTATATGCAACCTTTCTTTTATATATTATCACTATTGAATTAATTACTTCTATGAATTTGATGTTCATCTTGTTGTGCTAATCAGATATGGCAACTTGGACAGATGCATAAATGTGCCTGATCCTACATTGTAACTGACTGACTGTAAATGAAGTTATTTTAACGTTAATTATAGATTAATGGATCTTAGATATTTTACCACTCATAAGTTCATTAGTCGTAAAAATTGTTAAGCAAATATCTTAATTTTGCATATATTAAGATTTAGTATTTATAGTATGTTGAGAAATAAATTAAGATGACTTAGTCGCTTATTCTAGTGTTCTAATTTGATTATACTGGATGAAATTCTCTTGCCTAAATAATCGATTGTTTACGTATACTGTGGCCTGTCAGTGAACAAAATCATAAATCTTCTGTGTGGAAATAGAGTTCAAATTCCTAGTTGTTATTATCTGAATATGACCAAATTTGATTTGATGATGCCCACTCAGTTATAAACATCTAGAATAGATGTTTCCCAACTGACACTTGTTTATATTAACTAGATATTCAATTGTTATGTTCGACTGTTCAATGTTTCCTAACACTTATACAGACTAACAGTTCATTAGAGGCCGAAAGTTAGACAGTAAATTTACACAAGCTATGCGTTTATGTACGATACTAGACTAATGCAGAGAGGAATATGTGGGTAATCAATCTGTCTAGACAAATAATCCTCTCATTCACACAAAATCCTCCACAAACCTTCCAACAGCATATGAGCCGTCTAAACATCCCCAACATACTACGCCTTTCTCTTCTGTATAATTTCATGTGAGGACATATCAATAAACCTGGGTTCGAATCTAGCGAGGTGGGGTCGTAGATGCGCACTGCCACTGAGTCCCACAGTAGGACGAAACGACCGTCCAGTGCTTCCAGGTTTTCCATGGTGACCTAGCTTCAATTGACTCATGATCTTAACTATTAAAGTTACTATAATGTCCACAAAGTCCCTTCCAATATAAACCTTGTAATAAGATTTAACCAGTAATTTACCAAATGTTTTTTCAACAAAGTATTTTGAATCATTATCATTTTGTAAATTATTCACTGATGATAAATATTCATAATTTACAGGGTTTTCTTTTAATCTCTCATTAATGTATACCTTGATATAGATTTATAAGGGTTATGTGGATGATCCACGTAATACAGATAATGCATGGATGGAAACTGTGGCAGTAAATTTTCACGATGAAGTTGGCAATTGTCTAGCGTTATTTCCATTAACTGCAGGTAGATCATGTTCAGTTTTATTTATTCTTAGTTTCAAACTATCGTATTCAACCTGTTAAACAATATCCACAATAATAACATAGCACTTAAGCGGTAGTCTGTTAAAAATTGATTTACCGTTAGTTTTCTTTCCTAAATTCAACTTCCGATCCTATGTCCACTACCCTCAACGAATAGCGTTGTCATAAAATATACGTGAGACTCTTTCCACTGGGATGTAAGTTTGGTGATCATTTCCATACACTGTGTATACATCAGTCAAGTGGTGTTTAGAAAAATACCGTGATTAAAACACTGTCAAACTTCTTCATTTACATCTTGATCATTCTTTTATGGACTATGTATATGACTGAGGGTTAGTGATAAGGTTCAGAGGGTTTACGTTGACAATGCTTTCGTAATCTGATTCTCATTTTCAAATATTTTAAAAAACCGGTTCCAAAAATCCTGCCCGTTGGAAATATTTCATAAACTAATGTTTTTCAGTTGATTTTCAGCCTGTTAGCACTATGCTTACTACTTATTCAACAATAACCACATTGTGTTCTGTGTAGCAGCAGCTTCCATCCCAAGCGCATGTATATGCTAATTTAAACTTAACCACATTGTTGTTTGAATGAGACCTACCGTTCAATTTTGGTTATTTTTCACTCACTAACCCATATACGTAGTTGTGAGGTAGTAATACCACCCTGTTGCTCGGACCACAGTAGAGGGGCGGAGTTTAAACCCGAGACTTAGTGGCTGGAAGTCGAACCACTGAGCTGCCGCTGCACTACGCTCAGCCACAGGCATGTCCCCTTCAACACATCTGGAGGGTTTATTAACATCTTGAAGCCTCTTCACTACCACCTCTCTCTGTTGCCCCATCCAAGCAGTCGAGTTAGACAGTGTTATCCGATCTCAGTATTCTCCTTCGACTTTGCCGTCAATCGCATTCTGCAAATAACTCTGACGAAAATAGATAATGGTGCGGGTCAGTTACCTGCAGATAGATCTTTCGGCTTTGAGATGATTTCACGTAATCTGCACTTCGCCAGTCGTCAATCAGTGTCCGCAAGGACAGTATGTGCCTTGCACCTTTTAAGTGCAAAGTAATTTTACGAGACTGGCAGAAGCCTATACCTACACTCATCCTTAGTGGTAAGCAGTAGGAAGGGGTCGAGAATTTTAAATGTTTGGGTAGCTAAGCAAGCACTGGTATGACGTGCAGGACTAAATTGATCTATGTATAGCGAAAGCCGGAATGCCTTACTTCAACCTGGACCATCTTTGAGGCCGTTGTGGTTCTAGCCAGACTGCAAAACGTCGGTTTTACAACGCGTGACTGGCAGCGGTTTTGCTCTGTACTTGTGAAACCTGACCTCTCCAAGTTAAACAACCTTCCGATGTTAGACCATTGTTGCTGAAATTCAGTGGCAGCACCATCTTAGTAACCCTGAGGTTCAGCGATGCATTCAGGCACAGTTTAATTGGTGTCATGACCTTGAAACATCGACTTTAGTGGCTTGGACATGTATTATAAATGTCGTTCCTGGGAATTCCGCATCGTGCATTACTTGCCAATGCCAGGACTAGTTAGTAAAGTCGGAGAGTTAATTTATAACGTATTCCTGAGGTATGAAGTAAAACTGTCCTTCATAACGGCCTTGTTGAGGTTCTAAAGATAATGCACCTCGGTGGCTTGAGACGCTACCTTTCCCCCCATTGTTTGGTGCTCTTTGTACCTATATGTATATATGTACTTAAATCATACAAATAAATATCCCCCCACTTCCAACGGTCCATATAACTTACATTTATTACCTATTGATAAACAAACAGATTTACTAGCAAAATAAAAGAGAAAATATCTTTCTTAATTCCCCCCCCCTACATTATCATAATCAAATAGGTGATGATGCAGATGCTGTACGTTGGACAGATATTAATTCTGATCTACAACTTTATGCAAGTCATCGTGATTTTATTAAATTAGTTGCTGAATTAAGAAATGCACAATGGTAAAATGAAACAACAAAAACAAGAAAAAGAAGAAGACAGATGATGATTCCCTGAGACATTAATTTCTTTTATTTATACTTTGCATATTCAGTATAATTTACATCTAATGAACAATAATATATATATATATATATATACGTTATTTTCTTTAAAGAAAACGTTCTCTTTTTCCAAATGGATATTGTTATACACAAATAGAAACTCCCTTCACATTTAATAATAATAAAAAAAACTTAGTAGAATGCAATTTGTTTGACTGTGGGTATCAAAAAAAACAAAACAAAACAAAAAAGTTGTAAACAATGCATGAATGAATCTTGGAATAGTCGAGTATTGAGAAGGGGGGGGGAAGAAATACATTTTATAAAACACACTGATAAATAGAAGTAAAATTACAAAAATTGACAAAAGGGGGGTGAAAAGGGCTTATAAACAAGGGAAATAATAACAGTAATTATTATTATCATCATCATCATCATTGAGAACAAAATGACTTTGTTTCATATGCTTTAAAGGAAATAGTCTGGTATTGGTCGACGAGCTGGTATACTCCGGACATCCTGTAATAAAGTTATGATAAAAAATGAAGACCATTATTACCAAGCAATCTACAGAAATTCTTCTAGCTATAAACTCTAGCAGGATACCCTTCTTATACAATAAGGGTTACATTATTTGTAAAGCATGAGACGTCGATGTGTGGCCTAATTCACGGGACATGGAGCCCCAAAACTCGGGAGTAAGCTATAGAAAATGCTTTACGGTTCAAGAAAATGACCTGGAGACAAAGTTTTCTTTTCGAATTATACCAACCAATGAAGTAGCGGCTTTTATTGTTACCTGCTTGAATGTCGTAAAAACTTGTTATGAAAGATAAAACGGTTAATGACTGGTACGCCTTACATCGGTCAAAGCGGAAAAATGTGAAATAGATATCCCTATCTGATGTTACTTTAATTTACTCCGACCAAGCAGAAGGGTGATAAAGATAGATTTTAAGCGACATGTAAACTCTCTAATTTAGATCGTGTGAGGAACTCCTGACAGAAAAAACTGTGTTTCTTAGTGTAAAAAAATATCTGGTACAATGAATTAAGAACTTCAGTCGATAGGACCATGCAAATAAAATGTTGGGTAACAGCATCATCGAGCTGTAATTTCGACACGAAATACAAATCAGTAACGACTGCCGGTTATAACAATGTTGCCGATTAACTGTTGTCTAACATTCTGAACATAATCAATATGTCGTGATTCCTCAAATTCTACAAGTAACAGTTGTTGCATGTGAAGGACGACTAATTATAATGACTTGGATTATAGCACTTTCAGAGCTACATAAACTTGTTATACATGAATTTCCAATCACAAGTAGCTAATCAGCTGATGCAAAAAAAGTGCATTGGGATTGTAGAGATGCCATGAGAAACGGGTTTACAATTCTAGTCAACAACATAGTCGACGTAACAGTAACTACGAGCGGCTGGGTCACTCAGCAGACACGTTTTTCCAAGTTGATATGATGTGGCAAATAACCATAAACTAGTTTGATAAGTTACCCTATTACGAATAATACACTTGAGATGATGGACACAATTGCAATCTTATCGGTTTCCCTCTGATCTTTATTAATTGCTTGATAATTAACTTATACTCGTACTACTTTAATCAGTTGAAATTTGAGGTTCCGTTTTTATACTAAATTATTCATTCGTTAACAATAGTCATTGGGATATTTTATCAACTGATTATCCTTTCATGAAAAATACCCTGTTAAGATGATCTTATTTTAAATCTAAACCGAAGCGCACTAACTGAAAGGGTGATAAAGATTAGTCGCTGTCAACAAAGCTGAAGAGTATGAGCAACCTTTACACAGAGTGATATTAAGACGAGTCAGTCAGCTACAACGTAGAACCAAGCGAGTACATAAAAATGTATATGGTAGAGCATAGATGTCAGCACTTCCAAGAAGTTAATTAACTTCAGGGTTTAGGCATTTTAATTTTCATCTGAGTCGACAACTAATCAGACCTTAGAAGCTATAAACGTAGCAAGTTTTCCACATACATTGAGGGATCGATGGAGATGTGAAAATCAAGTAGTGACACAAGATTCCTTTGATGAGATTTGAATCAGTAGCATCATGATTTATAAAGAGAAACCAAATTATAAAAAAAACAGTCAGCTACAACGTAGGTCCAGGCACATATATGTGTCGGTCTAAGTTGCCACACCTCATTACCACAGCAAGACGAACACCGGATTCATAGAAGCAGTTAACTCAATGGTGTAATATATGAAAGATTGCATATAAGGATATAGTACAGGAAGAAAGAATTAGTTAGTAGAAAGAAAGATATGAAGCAATTTTAATCTCTTAGTTTAAGGGAAGACAAATGGTGTATACACCTACGCCATCGTCATCGATTCTGAGCCTTGTCACAGTCTCGGACCATTGATTAAGATAGTCACGCGGACCCCAACCAAGTAGTTTGTATCTACCAACATGGCTCAGACTAGAAGTTAGTGACTTAAAGGTCTGATGCAACGTTTTGGTTTGGCCGCCCCTAACTTTCTTCCAACCATCCCGAACACCAGTTAGCGTTGCGTATCGTGGTAATCGGTGTTCAGACATGCGCAACACGTGGCCTAACCATCTTAGTCGATGAAAATTCATAACCTCATCAACTGATTTACCATCATTCTCTAATACCCTGTGTCTAACCTCACTATTATTTACCCGGTGATCACAGTAGATGCGAGCAATATTTCTAAGGCATCTGTGGTCAATTACCAGTAGCTTACGAATATCTTCAACTTTTAATGGTCACGTTTCGCAGCCGTAAAGTAAATTTTAAAAAAAACAGATTGTCATAAACAGTTACTATCTTATTTCATGAGAAATGTAGAGTGATAAACAATAATTAGGTCCTATTATCAGACCATCCTTTGAATGTCACGTGAATAAACTAAAAAAAAACAAATTGTATTCCCCATATGTTCGGTGACCTATAAACATATATTTTGTATGCCATTTTTACTAATATAAATTATGTTATGGAACTTGTGTTAGTAACTTAGGCTTGTGAATAATTATCAGTTAATTGCATCATATCAATATACATTATATAATGATCAGTAGCATTCTATTCATCGTTTTAACCAAGATGGTATTCATAACAAACACTTAGTACCTAGTGAATTTATAGAAGAAATATCTTAAGAAATTTTATTTGGAAAATTTATTGTCTATAGCCCCCAAATGCCCTGGTATGGCCGAGAGTGGGGTGGGCCAGCCCTCCCTCTCGAAATGCTCTCACACGGCCACCCGTATACAGCCTCTGCCAGGGAAGTACTACTCACTGCCTTCTCGTGTCGAGGGTGTTAATTACGAAATTGAGAAGACGAAAAGCGAATGTCCGGCGCTTTAACCGGATTCCAAACCAATGGTGCACATGGGCTCCAGTATCCTACGGGGACAAATGGCGTATGAACCAACCGTTGGTCACCGGCTACCATGGGACTGCATCTCCCCACGATGCTCCATTGCCTTGTGGGTCAGACCTTTAGGTCCAAGGCTCGGGGTGTGGTCCCCTAAGAGAATCACCTGCTTCGGTCTGGGCACCTGTGCAGTATCTCAGCCCTCACACAAATAGAATGACTTGTGTGGCGCATACCTATTTGGTGCCTCTTTGTACCAATGTTTATGTGTTTAAATAATAATAATAATAATTGTCTATAACCCTAGTACATCTGTCAAAAAATCAGTATCTGAATGTGAATGCCTAAAACATTTCGATGCATACCAACATTTTCCTCCTCCATAGCTTATGACTACTTTTAGAATCATATTATAAATTGATTGACTAGTCTTCAAAATACTTTACATCAAAACATAAAAAAAGCGTACTGCTATTGTTACTCATTAAACGTGTTGATTATACGGAATTTATCGATCAATAAAATTGAATCGCTGTATCCTACAATGACTAGAGTTCGATTTGTATGTAATATAACAGTGGAATATAGATATGTATATGAATTACCTGTGGTGCGGCTTCAAATATGGAAAATTCCTTGTCTAATCTTTCATTTAAACGTAAAATAGCGGCAACATTACCACAACGATAACAATAATTTGGAGCAGACCATACAGTAAGAACACTTTCATGAAAATGCCAACGATAACCTTCCATAACTAATTGATGTGCACGACAAATGAAATCGATCCGATTCAACTAGAATGTATATATATAAACAAAAAGATAATGAAATATTACCGATTGATAACAACATATATCCAGTCAAAGCTAAGAAAAACCTATGATGAACAGATGGTAAAAAAATATTCTTTGTAATATTGTGACTGCAAAAGGATGATGATCAGAGTACTATAGCCAACAACTAAAGAAACTTTAATATTATGTGAACTATAGATAACTAAACTCTACTATTCAATTCAAAAGTATCTGATTTGGTCAGCTTATTCACACTACGAACCATATATATATACTATTTTCGTATGGCATAATATGTACTTCTCTCAGTAAAACAAATACTGAGTAGTTGTCATTCAAATATTTCAAGGGTTGACCTTGTCTAAACCCCCCTTTCGTTGTGGGAAGACTGTATACACTTGATGATTCGGGAACGAACCACAATCTATATGTGTGAGGCTAATGATACTATTTGGTTGCCCAGATTGAAGTAGATGGAGCGGGGCTTGAATTTGGAACTTGGCGGCCAAAAGTCGAACACCTTAAAGCCATTAAGCTATCGCTTAGCATGGTAGGACCTAAAAGAACAAGTTTCTCGATCAATATAGCTCTACTGAGTCATCATGAGACGAACCCGACCACCACGTTATGGTAGCAACTAAGGTGAGACACATTGAAGATGCATCAAAATGAAACAAAAACTCATGAATTTATCTTTTCTACATTACCAATCGTCATTTGTTTGTTATGTGATAATATGAATAATATCATGAACTTGGAAATTTGATTGCAATTTCTGAAACTATAACTTTATTTTATTTTAAGAAATATCAAGAGGTTTGATGTCGGTATACTTTACAGTAATGTGCATAATTGATGGTAAAAATCGACCAACATTTTTCAAGTTTACCAAGATTATGACTGTTGATGCAGAATTATCATTTGGATAGCTTTGTTTCATACTTAAAATAAACCAACCAGTGTCAAAGTCAAGTTGCTACTTTATGCTTCAAAACCAACATGAACACCCTATGAATCACGTGTTTTTCCCAAGATTAGCTAAAAATAGTTTTGTACTTGAGCTTTGAGATACAAGCGCCGCATGATGTATATTAATAATATGCAGCTATCGAAATACTAGATGGAATGGCTTTCCAACTTGTATCCAAGTCGTCAGCAATCATAAGCTTAAGACATTCCACTACGAAGCCAGTCGCCTCTAAATACCCAAGTATATAGGAGGTTCGGAATCACCTCTCCATTTAGATATGCTCTTATATAGTCATGTGTTTATAGCCACTGCTAGGGAAGTCCTACTCATTGCCTTCACTCAGCGATGGGGTTGTTATTCACGGAAATGAAAAGTGACTTCCATCGCTTACGCCGGGTTGGTGGATATGAAAATTTTATTTAGAGGAGTTAGAAAACGCTGATTTCGAACCAAAGGTATAAGTACTAACCGGAGACTTGAATGTTCAGGTAGGGCGTCTAGGCACCGAAGCGAATTGTTTAGATGGCCGATGGGGACTTGTTGGTCGCAGTTCAGATAACGATGATTGTCTACTGCAACTGTACGCAGACAACAACCTGTTTCTGGATACCACTAACTACTGGCACAGTCATCGCCGATTTGCTACCTGGTGTCATCTCTCTGCATTCTTAAACCTAAACTCAGATTGGTCACATAGCGATCAACTGCTGGCATGGTGGTGTACAAGACTGCTGCTCCTTTTGGAGAAATCTGAATTTTGATCATGCCCTTATTCGCGCTATGCTTACCTTACGTTTCAGTGGCCAACATACTTAAGGTCCCAAACGGATCGATATCAACAAATTGGTTGCAGCTTCTGTTGCAACTAAATATCACACCGAGTTAGGTTTAAGGCTAGGTACCACACCGAAAAATATAGATAAGCATTCGTTGCAATTGAATGACGCCATGAAGACGGTGAGAAAAGTTAAGTACGACTTCACGAAGCGTCCTGCCTACAAATATTGGGTTCCTACAGGCTTCGTACAATTCGCCAAAGCACGTCGGTCTACTCCAGCTAGTTTGAAGATAAACGAAGATCGCTACGTAACGAGATTATGCAAATGTTGCGTAAGGACCGAGCAGCCTGATGGTCGGAGCGTGCTAATGAGTTGAAAGCAGCTGCTGTATCTGGTAACTGCAGGAAGCTCTCTCAATTTATCCGAGCCACTGGCACCATGAAGTATGATGAGCGAAGCAACTTGCAAAACTGATGGATCGCCAATCAATAACACCTACAGTTTATTAGTGGTCTGCTACCCCAGTGACACCGATCAGACTGTTCCTCCCATTATGACCGGTGACGACTGATCAAGGAACTCCAAGTCCTGATGCGCCACAAATCACCAGACCAAGATGACTTACCTTTGGCCTTTTTAAAGATAGTGGCGACTTTCTGGTTAAGAAACTGACCGAGCTGTTTACAAAGGTCTGGGCATTAGTGTTTTAACATCGTAGAATGAGGTGATAGTTGTCCCTATCTTTAAAAAGGGTTAACGTCGTTTCTGCAACAACTATCGGGAGATAAGTCTACTTCCGATCGCGTCCAAAATTGACTCACGAGGAGCAAGCTGGATTTCGTTCTGGTCGAGGATGTATTGAACATATCTTCACCATCATTCCCAGATGTTAGAACACCACTATACTTATTGCAGGTCAATAATCGTTTTGTTACTTGACATCATGGCCAACTTCGATTCCTTGGACAACTGTTCTCTGGGATTATCCATTGAAGAAGGGTGCTTCTAAGAAGTTTATTAACATCCTGAATGCCCTATATACTAACACTTCAGGAAGAGCGAGCGCATACAACTAACTATCACCACTGTTCCATTCAAACAGCGGCGTTAGACAGGGTTGACCGGTCTCACCATTTCTCTTCAACTTTGCCATCGATGACGTTCCGGAAACAGTTGTGATGAATGAAGTTAATGGTGGTGTGGATCTGTTGCCTGGAGAGACTTTTCAACCATGAGTATGCGGATATTGTCATACTGTGAGATGATACCCAAGCCATGCAATCCGCACTTAATCAGTTGGCAGTGTCCGTAGGTATGGCATGTACTTCGCACTTTCCAAGTGCGAAGTACTTTTACAAGACTGGGAGAACCCTGAACCTGCACTCACCCTGGGTAGTCAGCGGATAGTAGACGAAAAGTCCGTGTATCCGGGTAGCTGCATAAGTGCCGGTGATGGCGATGATGAGACCAATTCACGTAAGTCAGTCAGTCAGTAACAACGTAGAACTTCGTACGTACGTACATCAGTTCGAATTACCACACCTCAATTCACGTAAAGTAAAAGCCAGAGCGACTTGTGCCAATCTGGACCACCTTTGGCACCTTCGTGTTGGTAGTTTGGCTGTAAAAGTTCGGATCTACAACGCGTAGGTGAGAGCAGTTTTGCTCTATGCTTAAGAGACCTGACCCCTTATCATTCAAATCCAGAAATATTGTTTCATAGATATCTTGCGTTAACCTATTAATTGTCTTGGCCATAGTAAGTTAGCTGCAGTGTTGATTACTCCAACTAGTTGGGGGTTTTCATCAGCCCTAGCAATTGACAAGATTTATGCATGGATACGGAAAAACTGCTTAGTTTTTTCCACCCGTGGAACAGGTGACATGCCAGTAAAAAGAAAAGAAACTATACAGCAACCAGATCTAAACTAATCTAAGGATGTGAAACACGATATATGAGACCGAAAAACATATAGGCTCTTTTAAAACAATGTTTGCACCAAATGAAACTAATAAGTAAGCAGCGGGGATATTAGCCACTGATTACTACAGAAAGGTAATGAAGTTGTGCACTTTTATCGACTGACCGGATTCAGATATATATACCACGTGTGTTCAACTCTGTGGTCTAAAATGGCTAATATAGTAGTATGTTTTAAAATGAAACGGGAATCAGATTAAGACATAACAGTAGTTTATGAAATCACTGATTGTTGACTTGAACAGTGAGAAAATACCAACTTTATGGTCAAAGCAAGTCTGAAAATTAAAATTCATGTTTAGACTGTCTCGAAGTCGGTAGCAGCAGTACAGTTATACTTATTAGCCATCTCCCTTCTGATATCGAACATTATTTCATGAAAATGAATGCTTTTTATACCAAGGTTTTTGTACATCAGTAACATGAAGATTTTAATTATGCGAGATTGACGATAGACGTGATACTGCTTTATGTTGTACTAAAATTAAACTAATGCCCATTTACTGTGTAAAAAAGTAGGGTTTTATACTTGACGAAATAATACACTTGAGTTTCGCTATTGATCCTAGAATCCAAGAAGCAACTACGACATCTACACTGCTTAGTCATAATTTACGCGCTGTTAAGATATGCAAAAACCATAAATTCTTACATTTAATGTTAATGGCTAAATCTTTTTTGAATAAAGAAAATATTTAAGGTGCTGCAAACAAAGTTAACTTACTTGGTTAAAATTAGCTACAACGTCAGAACCAAATAAATAGCCGGCACCTCTAGGGCTAACTCCCCAACCAGCAGTCTCTTCTGGATCTGACCATAAAAGATCGCACATTGGACCATCATGTGGGACTTCCTGTTTACGATCAATGGTACGGATTTGATCCAATGTTGTAATTGTAGGTGATAGGCCTCCATGAACACAAAATATCTTATTGAACAAAATTAACATTCATAAATGCATTTATTATTAAACTGGACACTTTTTTGAACGAGACATTTAAAATATTTAAATTGATATCCACGAGAATAGAAATCACACTTTTATACGTTAGCGGATGAAAAGAGATAACGGGATCCAAAAAATTAGACCAAAGTAACCTTTTCATTTGATGGAGATACCCATGTTATTCCCAGTTGAGTGATAGGAAAATAAACTCAAACAGAATTACAGTATTTATAAATTATGAAAAACAAATGTCAGTTCTGTGGTTTTCATAAGCGAGAAGCGATACGACAGTAATATTGAGTTAGTTAGTTGTTCGAAAAATATGAAACCTGAAGGACGAATCACAGTCATAATTGACATGGGACCCTACAAAAATGTAGATTGACAGCATTTCCCACATCAAAACGGAGAATTTACATTGCATAGTTGCAGACTTCAGTTAAAGAAAATGCCTTACTTGTTAACAGATATGTATCTGAAGCATTGACAACATAAACTACGGGTACTGGAAACTTGACCAGTAATACGATAAACAAATTGTAATGATTGTATGTGACTTAGTTACGAACATAGAATAACCATCCAATTACAGATGTTGGCATAACCTAGCCTTCACATGCCCTGGCACGGTCAAGAGTGGGGAGAGTCAGCTCTCCCTCTCTAAATGCTTTCACATAGACACGCGTATACAGCAACTGATAGGGAAGTCCTACTCACTGCTTTCTCGCGGCGGGGTTATTGTTTACGCAATTGAGAGGACGAAAAGCGAATTTCCGGCTCTTGAACCGGATCAGTGGATGTGGAAGATATACCTAGAGGACCGGGATACCCTGACTCCAAACTAAAGGTGTACATGGGTTGGCTTTAGGATCATGAGGCAACAAATGGCGTATGAACCAATTATTGGTTACCGGTTACCATGAAACTGCAGTTCCCTACATTGCTCCACTGCCTTGTTGGTAAGACCTTCCGATCGAAGGCTCTGGATGTGGCCTCCTAAGAAAACCATCTGCTTCAGTCTGAGCACCCGGGCAGTACCACAGCCAACACGCAAGTTTGCTGACCTGTGTAGCGCATAAGTATTTGATGCTTCTGCGTGCCAATATTTATGTGTTCAAATAAATAAATAATAAATAAGCCATTAATACTGAAGTATATCAATAAGAAATCTAGGCGAGACTCTAATTTAGGGACGAGCCAACCTCTGAACCTTTATCAAAACTTAACAAGCTTTTAAATCATGTAAAAGAAGAATACTCACTGTAATTCATTACTTATAATATATTTTTACTTTATACTAAGTGTCTTCTGATTGGCTGATAATTATCAAGGTCATTTAAGATTAGTTCAAAGGACGTCCCTAAGTTAGAGTCTCGCCGAAATCTAATCTAAATTTTTATAGTATCTCAACTCCCACAATTTGACACTAATAAATTGACAAGGATATAATGATACTCTATGGGCCTCTCCTATCAATAGCATCAAATCAAGGATATTAAAAGGATTATGAGAAAGGAACTTTACAGTTTGTAGAGTCACTTAATTTTATGGCGTATCCACTTTTTTGGAACTAGGTATGATTTTACGTTCAGATAAAGTATTCCGGTAAAGTGTGTCACCACACAGCGGGTTAGTACCTACACCAAAAAATTTACCGGACGACATAGCTTGAGTTTCGATACCCACTATATTCGGTCTGCCTGTTAAACTTCTCGTGGCAGTAAGATGTGCACTAATAACAATAAGCGAAATGGATTTCCAGTGGCAAAACTTGCAGATTTCTTTTGTGTGCGCAAACGGTATTCAAGCATGTTTTGTATTTACTTACCCTTCCGTCGATAATGGCAGAAAGGCATAGATAATCAAATATCTCAGTGCATTGTCGCCAGACCATCGCTGAGCCGTACTTTCTCAAGCATTCTTCGTAAAATCCGTAAACCATTGTTATCTGCCGACTTTCATGGTTGCCTCGTATGAGTGTGATTCTGTCTGGATACCTGACCTATACAAATGAACACACAGAAAATGATTTACCTTCAGCGCGAGGAGAAGAAGGAATGTTTCTACGCTGTGATATCCGCGGTCAACAAAATCACCGAGGAAGAGATAGTTAGTGTCCGGTACATCTCCGCCAACCTTGAACAATTCGATTAAATCGTAGAACTGTCCATGAATATCACCACATACCTAGGGAAGGTTATTGAATCCAACGTAACTTACTGTTACTGGAGAATCTACACATTGCACATTGCTTTCTTCAATAAGGATCTCTCTTGCTTTTGCACAGAGCGCCTTAACTTCGTCTTCCGTAATAAGTTTACATGCCCTTAATTGTTCGATTTGACGATCAAGATCACTCTGACCAGACATCTGAATGTCAAAGACGCCTTAACCGCGTCAACTTTGAACTGAAAGGGGCTCCCTGGTCAATTCAACGTTCAATACATAAACTCCTAAGTTGGTATAGCAGTAAATAAATCCTTCAAATAAATAGTTACGTAAGTTTTCGGTATTGATGCTGAACCTGTTCACTTTACCGGAAACTTCGCGGATAAAGGTGCTTGGTCAAGTATCCATGTCAGGTCACCAGTGGGTATGCCATGCTCGTCACTTCAAATCTATAAAACAGAGTTTATATTTTCCATTTTCTCATCGTTCCATGTGTACTTCAACTTTAATGCTTTCGGACCTAATAAATGATATTTCTTGGCAACCCTAAGTTCTTTCTCGATCACATTTCGTTGAAATTGTTCCGACTGAGAGCTATGTCGTACAGTTGTTGCGAAGAGCTGAGTGCTTATTCCACTATTCGTCTAACGGCCGACAAGTTAACTTGTATCATGATCACCGCCGACAGCTTAATACTTTCAGGGGTTGGAAAATCAATAAAAGATGTAAATAAGGGAACACCTATCAGATATATTCTGTGAAAGATGGATTATGTGACTAATCTTTAAGTACAAGATAACCAGAAGGGACTTTGTAAACGTTTAGGTGTGTGACACTATGTCGAACACACATGAGTAACTCTAGATTTCGGATAGACTAACCAATCTATTTTTTTAAATCACATTTTGATATTGTCATTTATTCGCTTATTAAACTAGACTGTTTTTACATCAGCGTATACGTACCCATCGCTCACCTCGTCCATCACATCAAGCTCACCATTTTTTGATCTGTCGATATTATTCCAGTTACGTCGAGCGATGATGTGAACAAAACATACATGCCGCAAACCTTCGTATGTAATCATCGACTTAATTCGAGTTACAGAATAACGGAATAAAATGAGTCAAGTACGAGAATGAATTTGGGATCAGTATATTTCATACACTTGTTAATCCAGAGAAACATTCAGAATGAGAAGTGATAGGTAAGAAACGAGTCAAAGCAGACAGAGTTTCGCACACTTGCCTTCTACGATCTGTAGCTCCACTTTGTTTCACTGATTTTCTATCTAAACAAACGATTGTACGAAATATACTGATCCCAAATTCATTCTCGTATTTGACTTATTTTACTCCGTTATTCTCCAACTTCAATTAAGTCGATAATTACGTGCGAAGGTTTTGGGAATGTATATTGTGTTGACATCCAGTTAAAGTCAAATCATAGGTCATAAAAAAGTTCCAGGATGGAGTAATCATTGATGGTGAAGATGCCACAGGTTTTTGGAGTTTGACAACACGTTAACCAGTAACGCCTTCTAATATGAATCGTACCCACCAAGTGAAATCAAAAGACAGAGGCGAGGAGGTTCGAAGATATATTTAATAGGCTATCAATATATCGAGGGTCGTCTGATCTAATCCGGCTAGCGACTGCATGGGTTGTTGAGCGCGGCGTTCCCACTCGTGATCTGGTCACAGCGAACTATCAGAAAAGTGTTTACCAGTGACAATCACTGACAAAGTTTTATGCCATTATTATAAACATAAATGCGAAATGTACTCCCCTTGATCACAACTAATGTTTTCCCCATTGATCACATGAGCATCACTCACTGTTTATCAACTTGTAAAACTGATTTAGCCTATGGTGACATATATTCAGTGATTTTTGTAACAACAAAAATAAAAACCACATTTTTTCTCTAATTTGTCACACTTTATTTGTAACCACATTTTTATCCAATATCTGTTGTTTTGCTGTATCACTTGTTAGAAAGACGATGATAATTGTTTCGATGAATGATATACACTTCTACTACCAGGTTGTTTAAAATATAGAACAATACCTACGCCGTTTGTTCTTCTGTTTTATTGGCCACCGTTTTGATTGAAGACTATAATAGTATTATAACATCCTTATAGGCCTTCCGACTCAACGTTGGACTTTTGGCACGGATTACTATTGTATAATACTATTGGACTCCGTCTTCCTCATTACGTCTTTGGTGCAGTCACTTGCAGAGGAACACCTGTCAACCAAGTGAACTTAGTTTGTGGTCGTTGTCCTCACGAGGCAGCTAACAAGTAACATTCATTCTATAGTAACTGTTAGCGTCTGTTTGTTTAATATACCTTTTGTATTGCTAACGGTATTTTATTACCTTTGTTTTTACTAACGGACAGACATCTAGGTTTCTTAATCATTAATTCGTTTTGGTATATCAGTGTTAACCTAGAGTATCAAAATATTTTGTGTAAGCTCCTTTTGTTTGGGGACCACCACAAATTTGGTGAGCCCGTAAAATTTTTTTTTCTCTCGCAACTACTTTTGAGTTCACTTACAGACATTACGGCGTTATTTTACCCTTGGTAGTATTTAAATTTTCTTATATTCGTAATGTACTCATCCGAAACTGAAGGCATTAGCCAGGATAACATTTCAGCAGAGATACATGCTCTAAATTTGATAAATGTGCCCCCATTCAGCCGATTAAATCCTCGCATTTGGTTTGCGCAAGTAGAAGTACAATTTCAGCGTCGCAACATACGCTCACAGGCATCTAAATACTCTTTTGTGCTTGGATTACTACCCACTGAAGTTGCATCTGAGGTGTCAGATTTGATAGATAATATTCCTGCACCTAATCCATATGATCAATTGAAGCAGGCAATTATTCAACGTACCTCATTATCTGATGAAAAGAGATTACAGCAATTACTACACGAATGTGAGCTAGGCGACAAATCACCGTCTCAATTATTACGACACATGAGACAATTAGCTGGCCCTTATAAATTTGATGACGCCTTCTTCAAGGAAATTCGGCTACAACGTTTGCCAACAGTAGTTAGGCAAATTCTTTGCGCCTCTAGCCAACCATCAGATTTAGAAAGTCTTGCTAGCATGGCGGATAAAATTTTAGAAGTTACACCCTGTACTACACCTTACGTACAGGCAATAGTATAAACTTCGAACGATAAGCAAACTCCCACCATAGCATCGTTAACTGCTGAACTAGGCGAACTACGAGCACAACATGAACGAACTGTCGCCACTCTTGAAAATAAACTGGATGCATTACAATTATTAATCTCCAACTTCACATCTACAAGATCTCGCTCTAGTTCTCGAGGGAGTAAGAATCGAGATAACGCAAAAAGAAACAAAAACGACGACAACATATGTTGGTACCATAAAAAATATGGTGACAAAGCTAGGAAATGTGTTACGTCTTGTAAATTTTTCAAGTCATTTTCCTCACCAAAACGTGTCAACCAAACCATGGTAGCGACAAATGTTTCTGGTCGTGCGCCTACTCGTCTTTTCCACGTTCTTGATAAAACTTCAGGGTACAAATTCTTAGTAGATACTGGAGCTGAAGTTAGTGTCATCCCAGTTACCATAGCCAATAAACCTATTGCTAAGAGTGGAAAATATACCCTAAGGGCAGCTAATAAAACCGAAATAAAGACATTTGGCGAACAATTTCTAACATTAGACTTGGAAATTAGACGTAATTTAACCTGGGTGTTTATTATTGCGGATGTCCGTCACCCTATACTAGGTGCAGATTTTCTCAGTTTCTACAACCTACTAGTTGACGTTAAGAGAAGAAAACTTATTGATTCCTGCACGAACCTTCAAGTCCAGGGAATTCAGTCGGACTACCACATACATAGTATTAAAATTGACACTCCAGGGAACGACATATTCGCCACCATTCTATCTAAATTTCCCAAAATAACGAAACCAGACTACGGTGAAAACACTGTCCAACATTCTGTAGTACACCGGATCATCACGAAAGGTCAACCAACTTCGGCACGTCCACGCCGATTACCACCAGACAAACTGAATGTTGCAAAAGCTGAGTTTGATCATATGATGCAGCTAGGTATAATACGTCCGTCAAGTAGCCCCTGGGCATCCCCACTCCACATGGTGCCCAAGCGAGACCAAGATTGGCGACCTTGTGGTGATTATAGATCATTGAACAACCTCACATTACCGGATCGCTACCCAATCCCTCATTTACATGATTTTTCTCTCACTTTACATGGCAAGCAAATTTTTTCTAAAATTGATCTTGTGCGAGCGTACCACCAGATTCCAGTAGCATCCGAGGACATAGCAAAAACAGCCATCATTACTCCATTTGGTTTGTTTGAATTCTTAAGAATGCCTTTTGGATTAAAGAACGCCGCACAAACATTTCAACGATTTATGGATGAGGTCACTAAAGGCCTAGATTTTGTTTTCGTGTATATTGATGATGTCTTAATAGCTAGCAGTTCGATCCATGAACACGCTGATCACCTACATCAATTATTCGAAAGATTCCAGAAATATGGCATAGTGATTAATCCATCCAAATGTATTTTCGGAGTTGAGAGTTTAGAGTTTTTAGGTCACTTGATCGACAAACGTGGAATTAAACCTTTGGATACAAAAATAGAAGCCATCAAGAGTTTTCCAGAACCAGACTCATGGAATAAACTTCGACGTTTCTTGGGGATGATCAATTTTTATCGTCGCTTTATTCCACAT